GGGGGGGGGGGGGGGGGGGGGGGGGGGGGGGGGGGGGGTGGTTCTGAATGAGGGGCTGAAATCGGGTCTCCTTTTCAAGTTTGGGTGTTGTTTTCAAGTTGGGGAGCTGAAACTGGGTGTCCTTTTTCAAATTAGGGGCCTGATATCAGATGTCGTTTTCATTTTATTTTTTTTTTGGGGGGGGGGGGAAGGGGTCCTGATATTGGATGAAATGCTTTGGAATTCAAATTTGTTTCGGAAATGGGGGGGACTGATTGAAATTGTTGGACATGGTGTTCAAATTTTGGCTTGTCTGATCGATAATGTGCAGTGTGCGCATGGACGGCCAACCATGGCGCCCATCGTAAACCTTTCAGCGCTGCGGAAAGCACTCCGCCAAAGCCAAGCAACAAATTTCCGGAGCTCCGGTGAAGAGATGGCAGCGGCATTCCCGACAGCACGACTGGCAATTGAAGCATGGGAGCCAGGGGGGGGTGCAGCAAAAGAAGCTATTGCTAGAGATGGAGGCTCCACAGAGAGGGGAGGAGGAGGAGGAGTACGAGTCTTTGGTAATTACAATGCGGCCGTCGGCTCCCAGCTACCGACCTCTGGATCATGCAGCTCAGCAATTGGAGGCTTGCACTGTTCTTCTTCATGGCGTGCTGGAAAAGTGATGGCAAATAATGCACGGCCAACGGTGGAAAGAGCTAGAGACCGACTACAATATGCTCTTCAGATGGGAGTTTGACTTCGGTCCATGCATTTTTCTTCCCGTCGCTCTGGACCCCCTGTGAGAAGAAGAAGAGGGTCTTGGCCCTTTTGAGTCATCCTGTTAGTTTGTGTTTTTTTCCCGATCTTCTTATAGGGAGAGTGGGGTTTTGATAGAGCTGTAAGCCAAAGCTCTGGCTTGGGCAGTGAGGGGGTGCTGGGCAAACTCAAGGGGTTCGGTCGGAATTTGGGGTCCAGGCTGTTGTGGCACTTAGAGACTAGATTTGAGAAGGGTAGACTTGAGAAGGTTTGGGCCTTGAGAAGGGTAGACTTGAGAACGGTAGACATGAGAAGGGTATATTTGACAACGTTTGGGCCTCTGGAGGGCTTAGGGTTTCCCTCTGAGAGGGATCAGTGTTAGAAGGGAAATAAATCCTTTTCATTTTCTTTTTCGTTCTTTTTTTAAGGTGAAAAAAAATGACAGCCGACAGGCTGAATGTCCTGGCTGCATTTCAGAGACAGATTGGAAGGATCAATTTGGGTAGATGCCTTCCATCTGTTTGTGTGCTTTCAAGTTTTAATTACCGTTTTTAAACCACCAGTCCATCCGAAGTTACTATTCATCTGCTTTCATATACGAATACCACCCCTACGCCGTTCAGCACAGGGCCAGTAGAGCAACGGATGAACAGTAACTTTGGGCCCCAAAATGTTGTTGGAGGCCCAGACTTTTCAATAAGGTCAAGGCTGGTATCATTTAGCCTGTTGATTTTTCCAACCGTTGGTGCCCGTCACTTCTAGTCTCCTGTAAAATGCATTTGAGAGAGAGAGAGAGAGAGAGAGA